AGGGTCCTCAGAAGTGAAAGAAGGAGAGCAGAAAAGGAGAATGAGAATAGGGTGATTCAAGAAACACTGGACCTACGGTTGCTGGCTTTGAATATGGAGGAAGGGGACACAAGCCAAGGAATGCAGATGGTTCTAGAAGGTAGAAAGAGCAAGGAAACCAATTCTCCCCTCACGTCGCCTCCAGAGGGAAGGCAATCTTGCCAACATCCTGCTCTTAGCCCAGCAAGACCCATTTCGGGCTTCTGATCTACAGAACTCTAAGATAATAGAGTTCTGTCGTTTTAAGCCACTGAACGTGTGGTAATTTGTTACGGCAGCATTAGGAAACTCCACAGACCTAAATGTCTATCTGCAGAGAACCAGCTGAGCAAATGCAGTGCAATACTGTGCAGCCTTCAAAGGCACGGGCCTCTATACATACTGACTTGCAAGTCATTTCAAGGAACACTGTGTAGTGAGAAAAAAAACCGCAGTGTACAAGAAGAGCGTAGATCGCATGTTATCTGTATCAAAAGGAGGCACAATTTAAAATCCACATACATCCTCATACGTGCACTGGTGAACCCTGGAAAGATACACCAGAACCTGGCACTGTTATTTAATATTTATTGCCACCGGGGGAGGAGAAAGTGTTACAAGAAGTTCCAACGACAGAGATGCTCATTTCTCATTGTATCCTCTCTCAGGCTTTTTGGTTTTTGGTGTGGGTGGTTGTTGTTGTTGTTGTTGTTGTTTTAATCATGTACAAGTATTACCTTAAGAATAGAGAGAAAGAAAAAAACTGAAAAGGGAGTGAGCTCTGCTCAGACTTAAATGAGTTGTTAGGGTTTTCATCTTCTCAATGAGTATTGGCTTCCCCCCTTTCCACAGTTCTGTGTATTGTGTACTGTCACATGTCTTTTCTCTTGTGATCTTGCTTGACGACCCCGACAGGTTATCATTATCCCCGGCCCACAGGTGCGGCGCTGAGGCTCAGAGAGGCTCACTGACCAAACTGCACAGCTGGTAAGTTTTGCAGTTGGATTTTAGAGCCTGGTCTTCTGGTTCAAGGGCTCTCTCCTCCAGCCACTGCAACACGGTGCTGCCAGTTCCAACAGCCGCCATAGGGGCAGGCGTAACCCTCGGAGGCTACTACCCAGAGCTGTCAGAGGGGGATCTCAGCCCTCCCTGGGCCTTCGGGTCCCTCTCCCAGACCTTGGAGTTGAAGAGAAGGTCAGGCTCCAGAGGGGGCCCTGCCTACACTGCCTTCTAGAGGCAGCCCACCTTCTCGGGTTACATCCCGCAGCAAAGTTCCTTCCGGGCCTTCAGGGAGAGGCGGCGGCTAGGACCAGCCGTCACCGCGCCTCTGATTGTTCTCTCTGGTGAGCTCATGATGCAGTGGGCCCGACGCTGACACCTGCTTTCCTCAGGCAGGGATGAAACCCTAGAGAGGATGGGCCTCTGCGGAGTATGACATCTTGATCAAATAAAGGCTGCCCTGAGATTTCTCATGCCTTTGAGCTCGGGGCCCCAGATGGAGGGGGTTTCCCCTGTCTGATGGCCACGCACACCGTCAGGCGCGCAAATCCACCTTCCCGGGCCTCACTTTCTGGTAAGAAAGATCTCATTCTTCTGTTGCATGGACAGGTGCGGCTGGGAGCACTGTTTAAATATAGCCGAAATTTCAGCTTTCATGGGATCTCAAGGCATTAAAAAAAAAAAAAAAAAGAGTAATTAATGAAGTTCCGCCTCCCAGAAAAAGCAAGGATTATCGTCTTCATTTTATAAATAGATCAAAGGTCACACAATCAATGGCAGATGTAGGAAACAGATGTAAGAATTCTGCTTTTGTCCCTGGCTACAGCCACTCAATCCCACCCCTGGTATCACTGACAGACCTCCTTTCTGCTCTCTGACTTCTGGCCAAAGACGTGGAATTGGCCTTTATATGTTTCCACTTAAAGGTTTGAATTCTATGTATGGTTCATATGCCTTTGATATGTCTGAAATGTATAAAAGAGAAGGAGAAGAATGATATTTGATGCTTTTCAGAGATCGTGTTGGGACTGAGCCTTATATAATGGGTCAAATGCCAATAAAGGAAAAAAAAAAAAAACCCGCTCACCAGATCTTCAGGAAGTTCACTTTTATTCTCTCTCTGAAAGAATTTGGTCTGTTAAAATGAAACAGAGTGTATCTTTAGTCACCCAAATGATTCTTGTGGGAACGATGGAAGTTACCACTTATTGAGCACTAACTGTGTACTAAGCACTGCTCTTCTTACTGGCATACAGTATACCTTGTGATTTTCACAGACACCCAAGGAGGTTCATTTTATAGATAATATATAACTGGGCTTAGAGATAAAAAGATAGGTTGAGGAGAAAGGAAAGAGAAGGCTCAAATAAAATTAATCAAGCAAAAATGATTGGACATATCCTCTGTGCCAGAAGTGTTGTGTTGTGATAGAGACAAAGATGCAGATACAAAGATGAGGAAAATAGCACCGGATTCCTGCTCTTGAGGAATTTAGGGCCTTGGGAGGCATTGAGGGTGAGGCCTGAGCACAAGCATACAAAAAGACAAATAATGTCAATGCAATTCAGTCCAGAAGTATTTATTGAGTTGCTGGTAGGTGTTAGACGCTGCATTAGTCAGAGGGGATGGTCCCTCTGCTCCTGGGGCTTATAGTCTAGTGGGAAAGTCGGACATTAATCAAATAATTCCACAGATTTAAACTGTAATTGAGTGGAGTAAAAGACATCAGATGGGCTACAGCCTGACAAAGGATTAGTATCCAGAACATATAAAGAGCTCCTACACATAATAAGAGATAATCCAATAGAAGCAGTGTCAAACCAAGGGCAATTTTTAAAAGATGAAAGGCAAATGGCCAATAAACAAATGAAAGTATGCTTAGTCTCTCTTGTAAACAGGGGACTGCAAATTAAAACGTTGAAATACCGCTTCACACCCATCGGCTTGGCAAAAATTTAAAGTCTGACATTACCAAGTGTTGTTGAGGATGCCAAGCACGGGAACTCTTACTACATATTGCTATCAAAGTGTAAATTGGTACGACCACTTTGAAAAACTGTTCAGCCAGGCTGAGTGAAGCTGCCATTTCACATGACCTGGGTCCAGCAATTTCACACACCAGTATCTGCCCATGGCTCACTTTCACGCAAGGGGATGGGCATAAAAAACATTAATTATAGCATTGTTTCTAACAACACAAAATGTGAAAATAAGCTACACGTCCTTCAGAAAGAGATGGGTAAATAGAGTGTGGTGAACTCATACAATGGGACCCGAATTAGCAGTGAAAATGTATGATCTAGAACTACATGTAGCAATGTGAATATATTTTCAAATCATAAACGCTGAGTGAAAAAAAGCAAGTAGTACAATGATATATTCAGTATAATGCCACTTCCCCCAAGTTTATAAACATGCCAAACAATTCTATGAAGTGTTTATAGGCACAAACAAATGTAGTAAAAATGCAAAAGCGCGTATAGGAATAATACATCCCAAAAGCAGAAGAGTGATTAGTTACCTTAGAAGAGGGACAGACATGGGTTCAAAGGGCCCTATCTAGATCTAAAGATGTTTTATGTTCTTAAAAAAAAGATTTGAAGAAATTAGGGCAAATGTTAAGCTTTGGCAAAGGTTGGAGGGGCAGGGGAAGGGTGCAGAATAAACAGGTTTGATGATATTACTCTCCTGTAGTTTTTTACATGTTTGATCTATCCAAGAAGGATTGGATTGAATTGGAGGTGGGGCTAGGGGAGGGGGTCAGGGAAGCTGCCTCTGAGGACATGATGCTCACTTAGGATGAGAGCCAAAAATTGAGTAGGTGAGGAAGGGCAGAAAGGTGTACCGGGCAGAGAGAACAAGCTGTGCAAAGACCCTGGGGGTCAGAGGGTGTGCATAGAGACTGGGAACTGAGACCCCACTGTGGCCAGAGCAGAGGGAAAAGGGGCTGGAGTTGGAGGTGATGGGGGTGGGGGGTGTGCACAGACCATGCAGGGCCTCATAGGCCATCTTGAAGGTCAGGTCTTTACCCTATGAGGAAAGCAGCAGAGATGGGAAGCTTTGGGACCCAGAGAGACTTCTCTTCCATAGATAGCAGAACAGGGAAGGCATTCCTGTCAGAGGTGACTCATATCTTGAGTTGTGGAGAATGAGTAAGAGGAAGCCAACTGGGGAAGGAGAAGGAGGGAGTGAGGTGCAAATTCCCTGGAGAGGACCCAACAGTAATAAAGACATTGAGGACCTTCCATAGCATGATCCCACCTGGGTCCTATACCCAGGACTAGCTCAGAAGGTGCTCAAAAATGGCCGACCAGAGTGTCCATGAAGACAGAGAGTGTCCATGAAGGCAGAGAGTGTCCATGAAGGCAGACAGCTTCAAGCCGAGAGAGGCATAGCCAGACATGGGTTGTAGGTGGCTGGCTCTAGCAACGTGTGGAGAATGGATCTGAAGGAGGCTGGGGTGCAGACAAGGAGATCTTTGAGAGGAATATGTTAATAGCCTAACCCAGGACAGATGGAACTAAGAAGCCATCCTGGAAGAAGTGGAGAGTGCCCGAAGAGGTATTTAGGAGGGAAGGCGAGACATCTAGGACGATGGGTGGGTGGGAGCTCCACCGCCGACATGGGCAATAATGGGGGCAAGGCTCGGCAAGTCGGAGGTGCGGGCAGGGCAAGCCAAGCGGAACCTTCCAGCGAGCAGCGGGATGGGTGCGCCGGGGTCCCCGCAAGCTGGGACTGGAAGCGCCTCCTGGGGGCGGCTGCTGACTGCTCCCAGCAAACCAGCTGGTCCAGAAGGAGGGTAGAGGAAGAAGAAAGTGAGCAGGTCTCTCGGGGACGACGAGGAATGGGACTGGGGCGGGTGGGGGTGGGGGGGAGAAGGGTGGGAGGGGGCGGACCACGCAGACGCGGAGCAGCCGCCGGGACCAACCCCGCGCGGGCTGGGCGGGCCCGGCATTGGCCTCCGCGGCCTCCCCGCGGGGTGCAGGCGGAGCCTGATGGCGCACGGCGCGGGCAGGCCGGGGGCGGGGGGAGCGCCGGTTGGTCAGCCGACCCCGGCCGCGGACTTCCCGCAGCGACCCGGGCTGCCTCGGCCGAAGCCGCCGAGGACAGCAGGGCACCGCGCGGCCCCGGACGTCTCCTGCAGCCGGGTTGCCATCCCGGCCACCCCCCGCCCCGGCACCCCCAGGCTCCCCGCGTGCCCAGGCCGCGCCTCCCCGCGCCGCGCCTCCCCACCGCCGGGACCTGGCGACGTCACTGCGGCTCTGAGCGCGCTAATGGAGGCACGGGCGGCGGCGGCGTGGCGCGGGTGTCCCCCGGGGAGGTCCCGGTCCTTGCAGCCCGCGGCCGCGTCCTTGGCCCTCCTCCAGGGGAACCTCGATTTTTCCAATCTCAGGAAGGCCGGCTGTCCTTCGGCTACTGATAAGGACGCGACCGCATGGTAAAAGATTTTAACAATGCCCGGAAAGAAATAGCCGGACCCAAGAAAGAGACTAATAATAGCAGCCCGCTAGAGTTCTGCTCGTGTGCTCAGCGCTCTTAAGAACAATAATAACGACAACAACCATAAGAGCCACCATTTATTGAGCGCTTACTCTGTGCCAGGCACTGTGTTAAGCGTTTTGCAGGCAACAACCCTCGGAGGTAAGTACCGTTATTATCCCTATTTTAAGGAAACCGGGGCACGGAGAGGTTAAGTAATTTGCCCCAGGCACACAGCTAGCTGATGTCAGTGCCAGAATTCCAACCCAGGCTGTCTGATCCCATGTAATCCTCATGTCAACCCATAAGGTCGGGGATCATTCTCTCCATCTTAAAGATGAGGAAACTAAGGCACATGGAAATTTAAGTACCTTGCCCAAGGTCACCTAGCTGGAAAATGGATGAGGCAGAAAGCGAACCCAGGGCTCCTCTCTGTCCGCAGAACCCGCGGTCTTGGCCACAGGTGATGCCACTTCCAAACCACCTCCGACAGCCCAGGAGGCTTTGGCCCCGGGTCCCAAGAGGCGCAGCCTCTGCGGGGTTTGGGTGGGTTCCCGCGGCCTCCGATCCCCGGGTGTATCGGATGTTTACGAGCATCATCTCTGCTCAGCCCGCAGGCGTCTGATAGGGACGCGTGTCCCGGAATCCGGTCGGGACCCGGCCGCGCGGTCCTCAGAAGGGATGGAGCGGGGGCGGAGGCAGCGGGAGGGATCCCTGGTCCCACCTGCAGAGCGGCGGGGCTGGCGGCTTGCTCCGCGCGGCCGGCAGAGGGCGCTGTCGCACGCGCCTCGGGTCCCATGGTCAACAGACCCCGGGGCCGGCAGCCTCCGCCTGCGGACGCTTGGACTCAGAACCGCCCGCCCCCCCCCCCCCCCAGCCCCCAGTGGGAATCCTTCTTGCCTGGCGACTGGCACCCCTCTGGCCCCTCATCTCACCCCTGAGCCTGCTTTTCCTGATCACTCTCCCCCATTTTCTGTGGTCCTGTTATCCCACCGTGGGCCTTCAAGGCTTCCCCAAGTCCCTGCACCGCTGATTTGGTCGCCTCTTGCTGAAAGGCAACACTGATTCCATTCCACTAAAAGGCTCAGGTGTTTGCAGGTCAACCTCGGCTTTGTCTCCCCTTCTCACGGGCGCTTTGGTGATGTAAAATGGGGATAAATCATCGACTTGGAATAGATAACTAATTTTCTTCGCCCGAAACAGGAGGAGGGGCTTGTTTAAGGAAGGAGCAGATTGGTTGAAAGGATCTATTTTTAATAGCTACAGTGTCTTAAGAGCCTGTTCTGTGCTGAGCCCTTTATGTGTCTTGACTCCTTAATCCTCATGACAGCCCTGAGAGGAGTATACCATTATTCTCCTTTTGATAGAAGAGGCCACAAGACTGGTAAATGGCAATCTGGGCATCCACCAGGAGGATCTAACTTTAATGCCATGCTCCCATCACCGGAATGTACAAGCTGATCCAACTGAACAGAGGAGGTAAGATACAAACCGACCAAAAACAAACCAAAATCTACTCTAAGAGTGCTTAGAAATACCACATGTGAATTAGGGGCTTCAATTGCTCTCTCAAATGTCTGAAAAAGAAAAAGAAAACCTAAAGGTTCAATGAGAGGAGAATAGGAATAAGGCTTGTAGCTTTTGCTTGGAAGAGCATCCAGAGAGGCCCACTCACTTTCTATGACTGGGCTCTGAGGAAATAAAGGTGGTTCTAGGAAAATCTGAAAAATATGAGAGGGGAAAAAAAAAATGCCTTCTGTGTTTTTTTTACTTTAACCAAGACTCATTTTGCTATTTGTGTTTTATTTTTAAATTAACGTAGCTCTCCCCACCCTTTAAATTGGCACATAAATAGCAAAAAAACAGAAGGAAGGCCAGCTATGAATTTCAAACTTGGTGGGTTTCTCAGGAAGGAGGTGCATGACTTGAAGTGGAAATGAGGATTGAATGAGGTGCTTTAAACATTTGAAAGACAGACTTTCCACAAGGAATTTAGATCATAAGCCCTTAGAACGGGAGCTTTGTCTGGGGTTGGGCTCTGTATAGTGTCTAGAATCGGTGAGTGCCCAAGAAATGTGGAAAACGAATCATGCTTTTGGTGTGTGCCTGCATCATCTAACCATCCAGGCCGCCACTTTGCTTATGGTTTTAGAGTGTGGCTTCTAGGGGATTTTCCTGTCCCCTGGGTCTTAGTCACACACCCTCCCTAAGACCCCTTACTTTCCCAGAATTTCTCTCTGGGAACTGAGTCAATGTGAGGCAACTGTTATGGATGATGATGTCACTAGGCTTGGTTAAATAGAATCACTGACTGGAGGCCTTTCCAAACAGGGAACCTGAGGCAGAAGGGACCTCAGGAGACCTGTCACTTCACGGTTCTGATTCTCTTGCCCTGTCTTTGAACTACAAGGACTCTCTTTGCCCAACACAAAAGAGCCCTGGGCATCCCCGGAGGCCTCTTGCAAAATTCTTGGACTTCTCTGACATTACCTCTCTCTGCTCCTTCCCTCATTTTTTCAGGGCATTCATTCTACAAACATGCATTGACAGCCCACTATGCGTAAGTGTTGTGGGTACAACAGAGAACTTAACATGAGCTCAAGAGCTCACTTTCTCCAGTTCCTACTCAGCTCCTGACCTCGGGGCTCCAACTTTCATGCCTGGAGAGGCCCCACAATAGTCAATGACTTGCTTCTCTAGGTGGGGACTATCGCTCAGACATATCTGACATTCTGGATAGCTCCTGGCAGCTCCGGGAGACCACGCCCTGTGACCCCAGGATACCACCTTGGTGACATTCATTGGGCAGGAGGTTTGGGTCCTGAGATATACCCTCAGAAGCAAGGCCTGGAAATGCACTTGCCCACACTCCTTCCTACCCTTTCCTAGATGGCATGCCTTCAGTTCATATGATCATTGTGGACAACCTTAATAGCTTGGGCCATATTTATGAAGCATCGGTTACAACAACAACAAAATCCCGTAGTGCCATAATACCCCACCATTCAAAGGAAAATGTTGGCTTAAACAAACAACAGTAACTGGCTGGCAAGTGGATATGTCAGATAATGCTGAGTCTTTCAGGTCATTTTGTTATTGAACGTTGGGATTGAGTTATTCAAAATAATGAGGGGAAGGAAGAACACTAGCCCTGTTTTAGCTTTCCAGATTATTCAGATGGAATAGGTTTTCAACATCAACACTCTAGTAAAGACAGAATGCTTAAGGTATACATTGTCAGTTTTTGTCTTTTTGGAAAATCCATTAATACTCAATGACTTGGTCTTCACCCATTCCAAAAAAAAAAAAAAGAACGTTGAACCACAGAATTCAGATGAGGGCCCTGGAAATCCCTTTAGAGAGTAGATTCCAAATCATATTCATTCTTCTTGAGTTTCTCACTGACCCCCCCGCCCAAGACTGTCCCATCCCTGCTAGCTAGCTACAGCATCATTTTCTCTCCCCTTGAGGAAGGCAGAGGCCCAGGGACCAGAAGAATGAGGGAGTAGTGAGGAAAACTCTTCCCTTACCTGAGTTGCAGAGCCACTTGAATCTAGAGAACTGTTACATTTGTGCTGTGTCTGTGAGTTCCTGGTGGTTGTGCATTCTCTGGCTGATGTCCAAAATCTCCATACACAGGGGCCTGAGATACTCTAAAAAGAAGGCCTATCTGTGAAGGACGTGTGTCCACCCACCAAGACGTTCTTGGTGGTCAGTGTCTGCATGTCCAGCAGCTGGGGTGAAGAGCTTTGGAACCCCTGAGCATTCCTGCTGGGGTCTTTCCAAGCCCTTTTGGGAACCGGCAACAGCTCTTGTCTGGGGAAATTAGTTTTGCACTTTCACAGAGTGAGAAATTCCTCAGGGGCATTCTTGTACTTGGGAAGAGAAATCAGACCCAGCTCATTCCTTTAGGGCCCATGCCATTAATAGAGCAGACGGAGTCCAGTTCTGTTGGTCCAGCTGGGGCCGTGGGGTGGGGGCCGAGGCAGTGGGGTTAAGCGAATTTCACCTGTGGCTAAGGCCCTCCCCGGACTGGCGCAAGCTTGAGCTTTCAGGGGCCCGTGTTACCAGCGTGTAAACACCGTGAGGGACAGCCCCCGCTCGCATTCGACCACAGAGGATCTCCAACCCTTCCTATCTTCCTAGAAACCCTGGCTGCCCGGCCGGCTGCTTGCTGTCTGATGCAACAGTTTGCAACGCTCGGTTCTGGAAGCCGAGCCTGCCGCGGGGCGCTGGGCGCCCTGCCGACGCGCATGCGCGGGCTGCGGCCCCGCCTGGGCGGGCGGGGGAGAAGCTTTTCACCAGATGTGCGGGGGGGGGGGGGGAGCGGGCGGGCAGGGAGACCTTTGGCGGCTAGCGCCGGCGATCTGAGCTTAATTAAACTTCTCCCGAGGCCTTGGCTGACTGATTGACCCAGTGATCCAAAAAAAATCAGAGAGGCCTGAATCTCCCTAAACGCGGCGGGAGAGAGAACTTGGGGAGTTGGCTTTCGGTTTCCCGAGCTGGGCCTTTGGATTCTGCCTGCCTTCCCCGAGCCCCCGCAAGCCACAAAGCTATCGGGGTTCCAAGACCTCATTAGGGCGTCAGGCCTCGCTTGTCCGTGCCCTCCTACGGATTTCTCAAAAAGGGAACAACAGTGGTTACAGAGGGGGGTAAAGGCAACGTTCTGATATCGTCTTGATCGTTTTCTTCCTGCCTCATTTCTCCATCCATGTGCCTTAGAAGGTTTTATTAGCAGAAAGTATCGTGGATTATTTTCCGATTTTTTCAGCCACTCAGGTATTGCCTGCATGGTTTTCTTCCATACCCACATTCCATCTATATTATATATTTTTAATTGACTTCTTTTATTAACTCTCCTTATTCTCTAAATTAACTTTAAATCGATTCCCTTTTTCTACATAGTCTTGCCCTAAGCAATAACATTAGCAAAACCACAGTTTGATATGTTAGTCATATATTTTAATACACTTGAAAATAAATTCAGAACTATTCGAATAAAAAAAAATGTGTATGTTAGCTAAAAGTTTCTTGCCTACTGCATTTGGAGAAAAACTCCAGAGGTAATAAAAAAGAGCTAACATATGTTGAGTGATTGTCAATGTCCCAGGCACTGAACTAAGCACTTTATTCTCTGGCCTTAGGACACCTTAGAAGTGGTGCTGTGAGAAGGTTTGGGTCCTGATATATACCCTTCCATTTTACAAAGGGAAAATGGGAGGCACACAGAAGTGAAATACCTTTGCCAAAGATCACAGAGCCAGGATGCAAATCCTTACTAGCCTCGCTCTAGAGCCTGCACTGTTGGACTCTCCAAAACAGCTAAGTTACCGCTGGAGATCACCCAGGTGGTTAGTATAGTCTGGATTTGAACCTAAGTCGGTCTGACTCCAGAACAGAGCTTTTAACTACCGTGTGGAACTCTCCTATTTCCCCAAATCTCACCTCATACGGCCTTTTTAAATCTGTCTGCCTCCTTTGGAATTCCAAAAGTGCTTCCAAGTTCTTTCTTTCCTCACCCCCTACATCTCCACCCCCCTCCCCCTGGGCAGGTAGGATGGAGGTCTCTTTCAACGGTTTCCTTCTCTCCTCAGAACTAAAAGCAACCCATAAATCTCTCATGATATCCGTGAGAATCCCTACTTTAAAGGTCCTGTCCACTCTTCTGCACTGACCATGGAAATTCCACCTACGAGCATCGTGAAACTACATTTCCCAGACTGCTATTCTCACCTGGAAAGAGAACAAAAATCCTATGTCAAACCATGTGGCTCCTATTTCAGGGTTGGAAAATCTGGCCACTAGCTTGGATAAAGATTGGTATGCCCATAGACTAATTCTTCTGGCCCCAAGCAGACATGAATTTCCCAGGCCTCAGTGATGGGGCGGGGGGGGGGGGGGGCAAGTTATTTCAGAAACAAAACCTTCAATTAGAGGCATAAATGAAGACTTGGCATAAGACTTCTAAAAGATGGCTGACCCCTGCCCAGGAGGTAGATTTTCTTCCTGCGACTGCCCTTACCACCGCCACCCCTTCCCTCTCTTCACTTCCTCTTCCTTCGCCTTCTTCCAGATTCTTCTTTTAATTGTACCATTGTGCCACTCCCTTGTCCCCCTCTCAACCCCCATGCCCACACCCACTCTTTAACTGTTTAGTATAAAATCCAGCCCACCAGACTGAGGTTTTCTTCGACCCAAATGTTATTTTCAGAAGGAGCCATTGAGGTTGGGGTGTAATTGCAGTGTTGGGCCTCTGCAAGCCAAGCTGAAAATAATCAGTGAGGCAGATGGGGTGGGAAGAGAGTGTGGTGGCCGCTTCCACCAAAGAGCAAGAGAAACCCAAAGGAGTGAGTCAGAGAGGGGCGAGTGCCAGGCTGGTCTGTTGGGCTATGGCCGGGAGTTCAGTTAAGGGGAAACTGCCCAGGGTTTTGGGACCTTTGACTGAGGCCCAATCCAAGGTGGTTCCTGGCTGCACATCACAAGTCCATATTTCTTATGATAGCCGCTAAACTTATCTTGCTCTCCTTCAGTTGGGCCATAGCAACCAGCAGGCCAGATGGGAACTTAACCATCCAGTTGGCTCACCAGTCTCTAGAGTGGGATTTCTCAGTGTCAGCTCTATTGGCATGTTGGGCTGCATAAGTCTTAGTTATGGGGGGCTGTCTGGTGCACTGTAGGATGCTTAGCAAGATCCCTGGCCTCTAGCCTCTAGATGCCAGTAAAAAAAAAACACACACACACAGAGTCATGACTATCAAAAATGTCTCTAGACATGCCAAATGTCCTTGGGAGGCAAAAATTGCCCCTGGTTGAGAACCACTGGTCTAGAGTGATCCAGGTCTATAAACCGATCACACCACCGGTCCCCATGGTGGCCTCATTGCCTTGCATCACATCTCAGTGGGCCTGGATAAAAACTATTAGCCAACTCCTATTTCCAATGACAAGTGTTGAATACTTGGAACCCAGCATGAGTGCCTATGGGGTTCCAGACACCATACAAGGTGTTGAGAAGGAAGGGCAAACAGACAGACATGGCCCCTGTCTTCATGGATCTGACAGGCTGAGACAGGGAAGACGGACGTTAAACAACCCTGAGCGAGAGGCACGTAAAGAGAAGAAATGGCATACCATTTCTCTTTTTCAAAGAGGGTTTGTCACCTAGGTGGGGGGGTCAAGAAGGGCTCTTGGAGGGAATGAGGAATTAGCCAGTTGGAGATTTGAGGGTGAGGGAATGTTTTGCGGAGTAGGGACAGAGTGTTCAGAAGCCCTGAGTTAAGAGAGAATGTTGTGTATCCAAGGATCCCAAAGAAGCCTGTCATGGAGCAGGCTTCAGACGGTGGGAAGTCATCCTCTCCTCTCATCCCCAAACTTGCTTCTCCTGTACTCCTTCTCTGGATTTCTAGTACAAGCATATAAACTTAGGATCATGTTTAGCCATACTTAACCCCCTCCTTGTTCCCGGTCAACCCCCTCAACCACCCAGCTACCAAGTTCTGTTAGTCCTACCCCCAGGCTCCCTGTCATCCCAGCTCCTTGTCTCCCTTCCCAGCACCACAACCCCGATGCAGGCTCTCTTCATTACTCAGCCGAATTTGTGAAATAGCTTCCTAACGAGTCATCCTCCAGTCTCTACCTCAGAGAAAGACAGAGACAAAGCCCACATCTCTGCTGGGTTAAGAAACCCTGCATGGCTTCCAGAGGCCTGTCAGACAGGCTGTTTCCTCCTGTGACTTTCGTGACTTTTGGGCGCTCTTCGTTCCCTGCTCCCAGCATACCTCCCTCCCACTCTCCAGCCACACCAGGCCACGAGCCACACCCCGTGTGCCCCCACAGCTCTGCGAGTTGGCTGTTCTCTTTGTCAGAATTGTCCTTCCCCAACCAAAATAATTGGGGGAATTCCCACCTATCCTTTGAGACGCAGACAAAATGAACTCATTATACTCTCCTATCCCTTCTTAGCAGCCTTCTCTTAATTCTTCCCTCTGTTTTCATTGGGATTTATATATAGCTGCTAGTTTACCATTTGTCACGTTGACCCATAGTTATCTGTTTAAAGACGTCCCTTCCCTGACCCAGAGTCAGAGGGCCTCCAAGGCAGGTCATGTAGTGTTCCCTGCTGGTTGACTACCCAACACCCATTCTCTCCCTTCCTAAAAGAAGCCAAAGAAATGCAAGGCACGGTGTATTATTTAGCGTACAAGCTAAGCCGCTGAACAAACAGACCCAGAGTCCAAAGGCTTACGCAAGCCCATGTGCCTCAGTGGAAGCTGACCCCATGCCCGGCTCCAGGGGTTGGCCCACTTGCCCTTTCCAAGAATTGGTTCAAGCACTTGGGCCTAAACTAATCAATGTGCAGTCGAGGCTTTTCTGGTTTCCCAATATCAACAGTCACCTTCTTTAATAATAGAACTCCTGATTTTGGGCCAAGCAGATGGCTGCCTCGTAAAAGCTACATTTCCCAGCCTCCCTTGTAGCTTGCTGTGGCCTTGAGTTTAAGGTCTCACCACAGACTGTGGGCAGAATGATTGTACCGCTTCTAAGCTGTGCCGTCAGAAGGATTGTGCATGTGCTTCCCCCTGCCTAGAAGATGATAGAAATGAAAGCAGTCTCCCTGGACCCAGGGAGGGACGCCACATGTGGAGGATGGCGGAGCCCTTCTCTCGATCTTGGATGACTTTTCTCTGAACTCTTATAGGATAGAAAGTGACATAAATTTCTATTTTGCTTACTCTTCTGTATTTGAGGCCCTGCCTCTGCGCCTCTGGTTAGGCGAGCCGACAAATGTCCGTTTTTCTAAGCCAGCTTGGGTTGGTTTTCTGTCACATCTTACCTTACGGGGTCTCACTCCTCGTCCCATCCCTGCTGGGCCTCACACAGGAGTCAATAAACACTTGTGGAATAAATGCTCCATTGTTATTTTTCTTCTCTTACCTGTAATGACTACCCCCATAGAAGCTGTAAGCAATCTTCTTTCTCTCTGCGCCAGCCTAAACCCCTAAAGTACTCACGTGGACCTCATGTCTGGCAAATTCTTCTCGGAACCTCCCCCCCCCAACTAGCTACTTATACAGGGAGCTGAGGATTCCGCTATAAAATGAGAGAGTTGAATCAGCTACATCTAGCACATTGTCCCGTACTCATGTCCTATGGCTCTGCCTGAGGCTCGTTCTGAAGGAGTCATTCTGTGCTCGGACTGAAGACCCATCTAGCACTAGCCATGTACAGTCTACTGAAGGTCCCCCTGGGCTCCTGCCCCAATTCCCTGTGGTCCCACAGGAGGCCCCTTCCAGCACTAACAAGCCTAGGGTTCTGTTCGACGTCTTTTCAAGCTCTGAAGGCCCATGATACTCTAATACTATACTAAGCCTAAGAGATTTTTTTTTTTTAATATTTTATTTATTTGAGAGAGAGAGAATGAGAGACAGAGAGCATGAGAGGGAGGAGGGTCAGAGGGAGAAGCAGACTCCCTGCTGAGCAGGGAGCCCGATGCAGGACTCGATCCCGGGACTCCAGGATCATGACCTGAGCCGAAGGCAGTCGCTCAACCGACTGAGCCACCCAGGCGCCCCAACCTAAGAGATTTTTGATTGGCTACTAGACCTCCAGCCCCAAGCACAAAAGATAAAGGCCTCGGGAGGGCCTGGACCGTCACAGCGTTGTCCTTCCAGATGAGACCAGAAACACTGGCAGGCAGCGGGGAGGGGGCCTTGCAATGCTCAGACATTCAGTAGGTCCTGTGGTGAGGACACTCAGCTTCCTGTGCCCACTGCCCAACCCTCCCACTGCCGTTAGTGCTGCTCAGAATGGGCATGCAAGCCAGTTCCAGGCAACACATGCAGGCCTCCTTCTAGCCTTGAGAACTTCATGAGACCGGGGAAAGAGCTGTCCCATTACTCAGCCCCCTGGAATGTGGGAGACTTAGATCTCAAGGAAAATGACTAGTAATGGACCCTGGCAGCCAGGACCTTGAGGGTCCAGAGGTGCTTCCTCCCGAGTCTATGGTGACTCCCAACTGTTCCTTCCCATGCTTTTTGAAGTTGCCATTTATAGGACACTCATTAAGAGCTGAGCCCTGTGCTCAGCACTCTACTTGCATTAGCTTATTTTATCTTCACAGCAGTTCTGCAGGGAGGTATTGTTGCTAGTCCCATTTCACAGATAAGCAGACTGAGGCTGAGAAGGCGAAATTGCGTGGTTGGAGTCAGAAAGCCACAGAGCTGGATCGGACCTCAGGTTCTTAACCAGAGTGTTTGGTGGGAGACTCTTGGCAGCATCTTCTCTGGTCTTCTAAGTTGGGCTGGCAAGGGGGAAGGGCACAGTAAGACCCCAGCCCTGTGAGGGCAATGCTGATGGGGAAGAACTTAGGACCAGAGAGAAAGGCAGTCACTGAAGTGAAGGACAAGGCAAACGAAGACCACTAGGCAGTCTCAGTCAGATATAAGGAGGGTGGCCAGCTCCACTGGACCCAACCAGTAGCGAGCAGAAGTCCTCTTCATAAGGGGGAGTATGGTCATCAGCATCAGGAGCTTGCCCACCCGCTATCCTGCTTGCTTGCTTATCATTTGCTATCACATCTGTTCCTTACTTTCTCTGTTCTGTTCAACATCTCAGAGGGCAAATGTCATATGACAGACTCCCCTGCTAACTGGCTTCTGACTAGGTTCACCCAGCGAAAGGTGCCGGAGGAAGGGGGGCAGGAAGAGGAGAGAAGTCTGGGTGTTTCTCCAGACCCCCAGCTTCAGGCAGCAACTCTGGCCACAGCCTCCTCCTTGGCCCTAGCTCCCAGTGGGCAGCCCCAGCCCTGAGCTCTCTACCAACCCCTCCTCCCTGTGAGTTTCCAGCCTCAGAGGTTGTGGCAGTTCTCCATAGCTGCTAACTCACTTGCCTCCCCACTCCCACACCCTCTTTCCGCACTGCCAGCCATTCTCGCTCCTGAGTGGACCTCACCCAGACCGGGTCCTCACCTCCTACCCCAGGCGGGCTGAGCAGCAGTGCCTTGGTCTGCTGGGGCCACTATGACACAAGACCACAGACTGGGTGGCTCATAAACAAATTTATTTCTCACCGTTCCAGAGGCTCGACTCCCAAAATCAGGGTGCCTATATGGGTTGGGTTCTGGTGAAAGCCCTCTTTCGAATCACACCTTGCCAACTTCTTGTTATGTCCACACGTGGTAGAAGGGCAAAGCAGCTCCACGGGGTCTCTTGTATAGGGGTACTAATCCCATTCAAAGGGTTCCACCCTCTTGACCTGAGCATCTCCCAAAGGCCCAACTTCTAACCTCATCACATTGGGCATTAGGATTTCAACATATGAATTTGAGGGGGGACACAAACATTCAGACCATAGCAAGCAGGCAACTCCTGGGCATGAAGGAGAGTCGAAGCCTATCCTATCCTATCCCCTTGAGCACCAGGTTAGCTGACTATGAGCAGAACTGAGCAGCCCCCAGCGGGACCCCATGGATCCCAAACCAGGAGCAACCGATGGGGTCTGAGTGTGCAGAAGAATGTCTTCCTACCCAGCAGGGTCCATTCTGCCACTCACGTCTTCCCAGCCTCAGTACAGTCTCAGGTGGGTCACTTTCTCCATGATGACCGAGTCGCTTGACCCTTTGGGTTTCAGTGTCCTCGTCTGCATTGTGGGGACACTGAGGTAAGTAACTGGGAGCTGCGTTCATCATTGTTGTGAAGAACAGCCTGGGCAGGACTAGAAGAAAGAATCCACAACCTGTGAGGATCTTTGGAGAGCAGGGACAGAAGAGATACAGTCACAGCCAGTGTGGGGCTGTCAAACGGGGAAGCAGCAGGATTGGGGGTGATGCATCACGGGGCCACCTGCTGGTCTCCCTGCCCGAAGGACTGGCACCCATCGCTCTGGTACCTCAGACTCAACCACAGTTCTCCCTCCTGCTGGTCCTCAGGTGTGGTAGGCAACACGGTCCTGAACAAAGGAATACTCCATGCCTAAGAAGGGGATGGAAGAGGTTTGGGACCTCCCCTGCCACTCCAGACTGAAGACTGGATCACTAAATGGGGCTGGGGGTGGGAGAGGCCAAGGGCCACACAAGCATTAGGCGCTGCCACTGGGTGTTTGCCGTATGCCAGGCTCTACGCACAGCACCCCAACACCACCTGTGCGCTCTCGGGCTTACTCCTCACTCCCCCTCCAGCCACTGGAAGAGGAGGTGGTATCTGTTATCACCACCAACCAACACATCCCCATTTGATAAAGGCATTGAACCTCTCAGGTTAAGAAAGCCGCCCAGGGTCGGATAGCCGAATGTGGCAGAGCCAGAATTTCAACCAACTTCATCTGATAGAAGCCTCCAGCCTCCCCAGGATGATTTAATGTGTCTCACTGCCCATGGCTCTGACATCGAGAGGGCACTGGCCCTGGCATTTGAGTCAAGGAAGTAGGGAAACGGATTGCTTGCCGAGCCCGCCCATGACCTGGCGTGGGCCTCCGGGCCTGTTCCGCCTTCGGGCGGTGTGCCAGATGTTAGAGACAAGGGCAAGGCTGAAAAGGATGGTCCACTAGGAGGCTGCCTCTGCTGATGTTTGTATGGACTCGTGCACGTGTGTGTGTGTGTGTGTGTGTATACATGCACGTGGACACACCAGTCTAACCTCCACCTTGGCCCAGGAGAGAATCAGGGAGGACTGTGCATTCGGTAAGTGAGGTGTGAACGGCTGGGTGGCTCCGCTTTCTTCCCCACCTCAGTTCCCAGGGGGACACTCTAATATTTTCCTGGAAAGCTGGCTATGGGCCTGGAGGCCTCAGGTCTCCACAAAGTCAAGAAGAAAGGACACTGGCAAACTCTTCTCCAAAATCAGTTCAGACCTTATCAGCCTCTCTGAGCCCCCCAAGCCAGAGGGGGCGACTCACGCCAAGTGAGGACAGGCTGTCTCAGAGCACTTCATCCCCAGATCCCACTGCCTCCTGAAAATCAACCTCCACATCCCCCCACGCCTTGCCCCAGACTCTGAGCGACACAGAATGGCTCTCTCATAATTGCCCCATGGGACACAACCCGGTATGGTGTGAGGAGCATGAACCTTGGGCTCACCTGAATTTCCGCCTGGACCTCAGTCCAGGAGCCATGAGGCCTGGGCCTGGTGTGACCCAATCCTTCTGAGCCTCTTTCAGAGCTCTCCTGGAAAATGAAGATAATAACTACCCATGGTAATAGGTGCAGTCAGTGTGAATGCTCCTGTCCCGTCCCTTTTTCCCTGCTTCCTTCTGGATCTCCTTAACCTCCACTGACCACTTTACCACCTAGCTTCAGGCCCCTCATTTCCCAGCATCCTCCCAGCTGCGGCCCGGCTTCTGAGCTTTGCAGGAGACAGTGGTTTTGCCACTCTTTGCTTGTGGCCTGCCATGAGCCAGCTCCCCTGAGAGCAAAGGCCTCAGAGCCCTGCGCCTGGGGCCCCACCCTCTTTGTAAACACCAGTTGGGCACCAACTGACCTCGGGAGGGAAGCGCTTCACCGGAACCCTCCTCTTCCAGCCCTGCCTGCTGCTGAATGTTCCAGAGGAAGTGCCAGGCAAATCTGACACCCTCGCACCCAGGCCACCTCCGTCCTGGAAATAGGCACTTAGAGCCAAACCCTCAGCTGAAGGTAGAAGGAAGTCAAAGTCCCTGAGTGCTGCTTCTCTCCTGCCCTCCCACAGCGCCCCCCCGCCCCACCCCCCCAGCCATCCCACCCAGGGCAAGTGCTCTCACATTTAAATGTTTTTTCAGGATCCTGATAGACGTCTGTAAGGAGGGCTTTCCTGTTACTCCTTGTTTCTTAAAAACAAAGACAGAAATTAAGTATAACCAAATATTAATCATTTTTATTGTTCTTTGCAACATCTTTTTTTGTATTGTTAAAATTGCTCTCAATAAAAACATTTTTTTTAAGATTTTATTTTTAAGTAATCTCTACACCCACCGTGGGGCTCGAACTCACAACCCCAAGATCGAGAGTTGCATGCTCTGCTGACTGAGCCAGCCAGGCACCTGTAAATAAAAATACTTTTAAGTCAATAAGATTCATACAGCTTTATTGGGGAAAAATTCACGAAATGCCAAAAGGTAGAAAAATAAGAATCACCAGAATCTCTCCTCTGGAACCAGACCATTTATCTATCGGCTTATCTCCTTCTGGTCCTTTTTCTAGCATGTATTCATGTCCTTTTATGCTTTTTTTTTTTTTTTTAAGATTTTATGTATCTATTTGAGAGAGAGAGAGAGCACAAACAGCGGGGTAGGGGCAGAGGGAGAGGGAGAAGTAGATACCCCGCTGAGCAGCAATCCCAACACGGGGCTCGGCCGAAGGCAGACGCTTAACCGACTGAGCCACCCAGGTGCCCTATTCTTTCTTTTTTTAATTAAAATATAATTGACATATAACATTGTACTTATTTTAGGTTCATTTTATTCTTTTTACCCCCCAAAATGGAATTATACTGTTTAATAACCTTTTTTCCCCTTCATAATATATTTTGAGCAGTTTCCCATGCCCTTGGATCTTAATCTTTACTTTAGTGCACTTCTTTTTGTTTCAGTTTTTTTCCCATGTAATCATGAGTAAGGTATATTTCTTATGATTAGGATCCACATTGATCCCATTAGGATCATACCATTTACACCACTTATTTATTTTTTCCTACCTGAAAAGTAGTACACTTTTGTTGTGGAAAAGTTAGAAAATACAGACAAGCAAACAAATGAACACATAATATCCTTGCAGCCTCACCCCGCTGAAATAACCCTTGCTAACATTTTCGTGTTTAATCGTGCTGTCCACATTTTTAGGTATGCAGGTAAATATATAGAAACACACATTTTACAATAAAATCAGAATCCTATGATTCATATTATTTTTAACTTACATTTTGTTGTTTACTTAACAATACATCTGACATTGATTAGAATTGTTTCAGCTACAAATGACAGAAGACCCAAAGGAACAGTGGCTTAAACATGTTCATTTCTCTCTCTAGGAACTGATGTCCAGAAGTAAGCAGCCCAGGCTGGTACAGTAGCCCCGTGACCATCAGGGACTCAGGCCCCTTCTACCTGGGGTTCTCCATCGTCAGCGCATGCCTTCCACTAGTGACCCAAGACCGCCAGTGGAGGAAGAAGCAGCAAAGAAGAGAGAGCCCTGTCTCCTCGAAGGATGCTTCCTAGAATTCACATGCATCACGCCTGCTTATACCACGCTAGCCAGAACTAAGTCCCATCCCGCCACCCCCAGGAAATGGGATTTATCTGAATAGAGCTTTTATTACTATAGAAAAAGGGAAGAACAGATTTTGGGGGGCTAACTGGCATCTCTGCCACATTTTACAAACATATTTCCAGGGCACCTAGTTGTATATCCCATTTTTTTCTTTTTTTGGTGAATGTTTGACCACATCATTAAATATCCTTCCATTTTTAATGGCTGCTTCATATTCCATAATACGCAGGTAACATTACTTATAGATCCAGTGCCTTCTTACTTGATATTTGGGTGTTTTGCTCTGACAAATAAGGCTCTTCTATGGTTAAAACTTGTCAGAGGAAGAGATCCCAATCTTTCCTCTACACCCTGGGGTTGCCCACCAATGACATTTTGCTGAGGAGTCAGGGTAGTATCTGCCTTGAAAGCTGGCTTATGGGTCTGAGTTTATTTCTGCAAAAAAAATGAAGCTTTTTGGCAACAGGTATACCCCTCAGTTCCCCTTGCAGAGGAAGTCCAGGGGAGGGGGGCCGCTGGGGTGGCGGGCAGAACCTGCTGGACAGTTCTGCCCTGGGCAGGAGGAAGATGGGTTGGGGGACGTGGGGGGCTGCGGGCTGGGGCTAGGGAGTGAGTGGGAGGAGACTGGGGACTCTCAGGAGCCAGGGGTGGACCTGGTCCTGGAGAGGCAAGGGGACTTGATGGGCCCAATTCATTTTTTTTTTTAAGATTTTATTTATTCATTTGAGAGAGCGAGAGCAGGGGGAGGGGCAGAGGGAGCGGGAAAAGCAGCAGGGAGCCCAATGCAGGGCTCGATCCCAGGACCCTGGGATCATGACCTGAGCCGAAGGCGCCCGCCAATTCATTCTTTATTCAAGTTCAACCAGTGCTTTTTGTGTCCCTTCTCAGGGCCATGCCCTCTGCCAGTCCCTGGGGATGTCTCAGAGAAGACATGGTCCCTACTCTCCAGGAAGTCTAAATTTTCAGATATTAGAGTTCAGCCTGCAGCGTTGCCTCAAATACAGAATCCTCAGGCCCACACCCAAATACCTGATGCAATTCACGTTGGTGGGCCTAGAATCTGCATTTCTTTCAGTCTCCCCAGGTGACTGATGAGTATGATCAGGAACCTTTTTTTTTTTTTTAAGATTTTATTTATTTATTTGACAGAGAGAGACACAGCGAGAGAGGGAATGCAGGCAAGGGGAGTGGGAAGGGGAGAAGCAGGCTTCCCAATGAGCAGGGAGCCCGATACGGAGCTCCATCCCAGGATCCTGGAATCATGACCTGAGCTGAAGGCAGACGCTTAACAACTGAGCCACCCAGGCACCCTGATCAGAAACCATTTTAGCGGAGGACTATCAGTCAAGGCGTTTGGAGGAAGTCTCTTAAACCAGGCAAACCTGGAGCCTCCATCTGCTCAGTATGTGGCTTGAGGCTTGATTGAGCGTTAAGCTGTAACAAAATAATGAGGACACCTGTCAGACACACCTGAACCCAAATAACAGTTCCATCCTTCCATAGCTGAGTGACCTCAGGGAAAGTATTTAACTTCCCTAAGACTTGATTTTCCCATTTGTAAAATGGGAAGAATCGTAGTGCTTCCCACGTGGGAATAAACATCAGTGCTTAGCAGTATGTCTCTGCACTCAATAAATACTAGATATTATTAAACTAATTACAACTGCCTCTAGGTAGGTAATTCCAGCAAAGGACTGGAGACAAGGTATAGAAAGCATCTTATATGCTGCCTGGCTCAGGTGGTAGGCATTCAATACATGGCTATTATTATTGCTATCATCCTTATGTTCATCTCAATTCTAGGCTTATCCTCTCTGCAAGCTGCACCTGCCACACAATCTTATCGTCCCAATAGAAATCATGGATGAAGCTACAGACTCATGACTCCAAATTGCGGGCTTCCTGTCATACCCCTAGTGCCTGCCCCAGCATGAAAGAGGTTTTCTCAGGGCCTTCCAGAAGGACGTGCAAGCAACAAGCAGGTCAGCAGGAGTGGGGACCTCAACTCCCTGCTTTTCTGGGGAGCCAGGCATAGCCCCGGGCCATTCACCTGGCACCGAAGATCCGAGAACTGTGCAGCCCAGGGCTGCTAGGAGGCCAGAAGGAAGAGGCAGTGTCACTGTTGATAACTACATTTTCAAGTGTTTCGTGGATGGAGCAGTTACCATGGTGATGCTCATGGCTCTGAGGAGAGCTGCAGCCTCTCTTGAGTTGTGAGTCAGGTTCAGCTTTATTTATTTAAAAAGAAAACCAACGCCCTGACCTGTGAAGGACAAAGCAACACGCAGGTAGAGGCTGGGGCGTCCACTGAGGGCGGGGGCGATTCAGCACGCTCGCCGGCCCCCCGTGTCCTGACGTCAGTCAGCCCAGCTGGCTACCGGGCCTGGGAAAGTCCACAGAGGTAAGTGGGGGAGGCCGGCATTTCAAACTGGCCCAGGAGAGGAAGCACAAAGGGAAGCCACATGGCCAGGCCAGTCGGAAACCTCTTAATAGGAAGCAGATCCCATTTGCTCAGCTCGGACCCGAGGGCCAGACTCCTTCGGGGGATGCTTCCCCACCCTGGTATGGCAGGCCTCAGAGCCCAAGGAGAGAGGCAAGTGAGGGCCAGGGTCTGGCCTTGAGATGACCGTGCTGGCTGACCCACCTCCCCTACCCCCCATGTGTATACACCAGCAGTGCCCTGGGACGGGGGGGTTTCTCCCTGGGGGTGATGGAGCCCCTTTAACCAGAACCCCTGCAGGGGAAGAGGTAATCATAATAGCACCTACTCACAGGGTGGCTCTGAGGATGAAATGGCGATAATATTTGCAAATGTTTAACGTAGAGCCGGACTGGCATATAGTCAGCCCTGGATAACTGGGCTATTGTTAACTTTGGTTCAGGCCCTTATATTCCCCCTCTTGGATAGAACCGCAAAAGCCTCCTAACTCCACTGGCTGGTTCTAGTCTTACTCACCTCCGATCTATTGCCCACACCACAGCAGAGCGGTTTATTGAAAATGCATCCCGATCATGCTATTTTTCTCCCCTCAAAATCTGCCAGTGTTTCCATTTACCTTCAGGGTAACTCTTAGAATTCCTTGGAGGGGCCTAGGCCTCGAATGATCTAGCCCTTGGCTGCCCTCTCCAGCCCTGTCGCCCACCACGCCCCGCCGGCCTTGATAAGTTTTGGCCGGTACCCCAGTGTCAGCACTCTCCTAGGGTGCCAGGCTCTGTCGTACCTCCAGGATCTTTGGCATGCTATCCCCTTGGCCCAGAAAGGGCAAACACTTGCTTATCCTCCCAAGACCCCCATCAAGGACCCCATGTACCAGGAAATCTCCCTGTCCTCCCCTCGGATGCAGAGCTGGCCACTCCCTCCTCTGAGCAACTTGACGTCGCAATTCTTGCGACCCACGGCTGTGACACCTTTCAGCTTCCTGAGGGCAGCCCTGATTCTCAATAATGTCTGCATGCCCAGAACATACGACAGTACCCTAACATTCACAAGGGAGGACTGTGAATGAATGAAGGAATGAATGAAGACAAAAATCTCATTTCTAGAAAAGGGTACTGAGGCCCAGATAGGAGGAGTGACTTGGTTCAAATAGAGTCCCGAAGCCCTCTAGCTCCAGGCCCTTCTGATTCCAGAGACCAGGGACCATCCATCTGTTCATCCATCCATTGCTTACTAAGCACCAATCATCCAGCAGATACCGTGTTGCTCCCTGGAGTAGCCCTGGCCCCCAGGGGCCCACAGACAGGTGGGATAGAATGACAGGTATTCGGACAATTCCCTCACTTTTCACGATGAGCCGGGACAGAGGGTGCAGGAGCTATGGGAATTCCAGGGACCACGATATGGACGGAGGTAGAGGGAGGCCCTCTGTGTCTGTGTCTTCCACTCCCTCTGCCCCAGCTCCGGAGCCCAAGCTCCCACAGAGAGCCAGACCAAGGCAGCTGCCCTCCAGGTGCCGTCAACACAGGTAAACAGACGTATATACGTAGGCTCACACATACCTACGTCGGGTGACATGGACATACATGCCTGGCCCCGTGGGCAGGACACACAGTTACAAGGACACATGTGCACCCCTCAGTGATCATGTCAAGAGCCATCAGGGAGTAAGGACTGATGAAATCAGACCGCAGAGCATTTTCGGACACTTCACACCACCCCTCGCCCTTCTGCACACCAGGTCTCCTGGATTCCCCCCCCCCCCATGTGGTCCTCTGGGCAAGACAGATATATTGTTCTCTCCCCAATTTCCAGATGGACAAACTGAGACTCAGAGAAATTTAACTGACTTGCCCAACCACCACCACCACCACCTGGTCAGTGGAAGTTCTGGAACTGACCCGTCATTCCCCAGGCATTTGCTAGCATTTAGTCTGTGCCAGGCCTTCTGCGGGGCACAGGGGATGCCGAGGGGAATGAGCCACAGCCCCAGCCTCTTGTGGGAGATGATAGCCTTGTCTATCCCCAAGGTTTGAACCTCAGTGTCACCGACTAGCTGGGTGAGCCTGAGCTAGGTGTTAGCCTCCGCGACTTAGTCTGAGTCTCTGATTCAATATCTAGGGGCGCCTGGGGGGCTCAGTCGGTTAAGCGTCTGCCTTCGGCTTGGGTCATGATCCCAGGGTCCTGGGATCAAGTCCCACATCGGGCTCCCTGCTTAGGGGGAAGTCTGCTTCTCCCTCTCCCTCTGCCTGCCACTTTGCCTGCTTCTGCACTCTCTCTCTCTCTGTCAAATAAATAAATAAAATCATAAAAAAACAACAACACAAATTAGATCAAACCCTCCCATCACACTCAGCAGTACCCCGCATGACCCAGCTCCCGCTCCCTTACCCAGCTCTCTTCCTATCACTGTCCACCTCCCGTCCCACTGGCCTCCTGGCTGTGCCCGCAGCAAAACAAGGACCTCCCACCTCCAACGTCCAACCTTCACACCTTCTCTTCCCTCTCCCGGACACGGTTTCCCCCAGATTGTCACAGAGCGAACTCCCTCCTGCTGCCCACGTCTCTGTGTCTTCACACGGGAGGACACCACTGAGTCCAAAATGATGGCCCTATACTTTTCTTGAAAGTACTGTCTTCATATTATATGACATGATACTATGTGTATTTGACCGTTTGTTTACGACCTACTGGTACAGAAGGGGAGGAATGTGCGCACTGTGTTTACTACTACACCCTCAGGGCCTAGAACAGTGCCTGGCGCATAGTAGGAACTCAGTAAATTTTTATGAACAGGAATATATCAATCATCCTGTTTCCTCCCCTTTAAAATGATACCTATAGCACATAGCTATAAGGATTAATTATGTTATAAATGGAAGATGCTTAACCTGGTACCCGGCACTTCATTGGCACACCATAATGCTGTTATTTTTTTGCTATTGCTGTTATCATTGGGGAGTCGATGGGGGAGCAGTGGGGGAGACAGGTGTAAGAATAAACTACACAGTGTGGTAACAACACTCTTGCTTCTGAGTCCAGTCGTCCAGTTTGGGGCCCAAGTAGCAGCCCCTTCATGTGCCTGAAGATCAAGAACCAAAACTCTTGCCCTCTTGTCTGCAGGGATCACCCTCAGGGTCTCGCGCCGATGGCCAGGAGACCTCTGGGCCCCACCTGGGCTGGGGGCAGTGGGCAGAGTCCAGCCCAGGCCTCAGAAACCCTTGATTCCCACCCCCCCCCCCCCAGCAGGCACCACATCAAAGCCAATCTCCAGAGGGGCGAGGCCTCAAGATAAATGGAAGATTAAAGAAGGCAGGCGAGGTCTCCACAGGCCACAGGGAGAGGCAGCAGGCAGGCGACCACAGAGGGGGGGCCCTGACACAGCCCTGGCAGCAGCCATCTTGGGGGGCAAGAGGCAGGAGGGGGGCCCAAGCCTAGGCAGTGGAGCAGTGGAGCAGCAGGGGGGGGAGGGGATGGGTAGCTCAGCCTGGGTCTGGCATTACACTTTGGCCTGTTCCTCCAGTCCGTGCCTACTTCTTAACCCTTTCCCAGCCAGGCAGCAGCAGGGAGGTGCATCGGAGGAAACCCCGGGCCTCTCTTCAAGAGAGTTTTTTTGGTCATTGGGTTCGGTCATTGGGGTTTGCTCCCTCCAGCAAAGGAGCCTGTAATGAAGACCTCCTGGCCCCAGTCTTCCTCCCCAGGAAGGTCTGTAATTAGTGCAGGAGGCGAGGCTGGGGAAGCTCAGACAATGTCATTTGAACCAGGATGAGACAGGGCTCAATTGCTAGTCTGCACATTTTTTTTTTCCTGGTGCCATTTCATATACAAAACTCCAGCAAGCTTAACCCTTTTCTGGATGGGCCCTGATGCTGGGGTTTCAGCCTGGCATATCACCCATTCCTGTGCCCAAGTGTTCCCATCTCACCTGCCCCCCATGCACACCCCAATGCAGGGGAGCCGTGATTTCCAGCTTCCCTAACAGCCAACACGCCATCTGACAATCCATCATCCAACAAGCCTTTGGAGAGGGGACCCAGAGGAAAGTCTACCATCTTGCCATCGAGGAGATTACAATCCTCTGGGCAGTGGAGGAATGCAAACCAGCAACAGGTGGTAAGTGATGCAAGACAGGATAGAATGAGATGGTGAGGACCAGCAAGGGGCAGGGAAGGAAGTCGCATGCAGGAAGCATTCTGTAAATATGTACTGAGAAGAGCCATCTTCCTGGAGCAGAGCATTTCGGCAATCAGGGTGTGAGGGCCGAACCCACAAGGAGCAGGGAGGCCGGCAAAGCCTTGGCAGCTCTAAGCCAGCCCCAGATGGAGACAAATGTCAGAGTCTACTTGGAGGCAGAGGCTTTTGCTTCCTCTCTCCTTGCCCTGAAGCACTCATTCTGAATCCCTGAACTACAGTTCATCTCACACTGCCGTACAACCTGTCTGATCACAGATCCGAGACCCCACTGGACTTTGAGCAACCTAAGGGCTTTGTCTCTTCCTCTGGTCTCTGATGCCTAAGCACAGAGCCTAGCTCTCAAGAGGTACTCAATAAATGCTCATTGAATAAATGACTGAGTTTGGATGGGAGGGTGGAGGTGTGGGGAAGAATCTACCTCTACTGCCTTTCCCAGAGGGGATGCCAATTGTGGCCTCACTGCTCCTATAAATCATAGCACAATCTCCCTAACATGTAAAGAGCTTCTAAAAATCAATAAGACAAGACCAACCACTAATTTTTAAAAGGTCAAAGAATATGAACAGAGTCTACAGAAAAGGAAACATAAAGTGTTCTAGGGCATCTAAAATGACTCTCAGCCTCACTAATAGAAGAGAAATGCAAGCTGGAAACCATTCAAAAGTTTACTAATATCCTCTATTTGAAAGACTGTAGAGAAATCAGCACTGTCATATATTGCTGCTTGGGGGTGTAAATTGATATGAACTAGTTGACAATATCTATTGACATTACAAATGCATATTCTCTTTGACCCAGTAATCCCATGCCTGAGAATTTACCCTACAGATATACAGTGCTTGAACAAGGCTATCATTACTGCATTGTTTGTGATAGTAAAAACTTGGCAATAATCCAGATGTCCATCATTTGGGGACAGGTAAATAAATTAAGGTACGGTCATACAGTGGGTAGCTATGCAGCTATTAAAAAAAAAAAGAATGAGGAAGTTCTCTATGTCCTAATATAGGCAGATCTCCAAAACAGATAAAATAGGGGGGAAAAGATATAGAACAATGTATATAATAATCCTCTTTTCAGTTAAAAAAGAGAAAGAGATGGGGCACCTGGGGGCTCCGTTGGTTAAGTGTCCGACTCTTGATTTCGGCTCAGGTTTTGATGTCAGGATCGTGAGATCGAGCCCCGCGTCGGGCTCCACACTGAGCATGGAGCGTGCCTAGGATTCTCTGTCTCCCTCTGCCCCTCCCCACCACTCTCTCTAAAAAATATATGGATACATACGCATACACACACATACACACCCCAAAGAAGATGCCCAAGGAAGTAATTAAATTGATTATACGTTGGTTAAAGGGTGGGAACGTAGTGGTGAGGATGGAGGGTATAGGGATGGGAGGATTAACTCTCATTGTATTCCTTTTTTTATGTTTTGAGTTCCATGACATATTATCTATTCAACAAATTCAAAAAGACAAAAAAAAAAAAAAACCCTCAAAAGCCATCTGCCTGGATATTGGGGGTTCTAGGCTTTTTCCCAAGTTGCTAGGTAGAAAGGATCTCACCTCAGCTGGCAGCCCCTCCTTCACTTTCCCTCCCCAGGCCCTGCCATATTTTCCTGAGGCCTTGGGTCCCAGTCTGGGGTGGCTGTCATCCCAAGCGGTACTTCTGTAAGTACAGACTATGACATCGGACCAAGTCACTGTGTGAGCCTCAGGAAAACAGGATAATCCTGGTATCTGCCTCCAAGGGGTGTGATAAGGCTTAAACGAGGCTTAAATAAGAAAAGGCATAGGAAATGCTTAGCATAGATCCGGAAACGTGATAAATGTTATTGTATAAATGTACCAGACCCACTGTTCATATTTTTTTGCCAGTATATTTATCGGATTTTTGGTCTTTATCTTATTGATTTATAGGGGCAATTTATGGATTCAGAAGATTGAGATCCTCATGGCAAATTGGCAGAGCATTGAAGGGCCATGGGACCATAATATATGGCAGTGTGTGAGAATCATTATTTCTGTGATGATTTCTCCCCTGGGCCATGCATGCAAGTGTCTGCAGGCATCCCACATTAGAGGCCCCAGGGCTCATCTGGACAGGCCCGAGGGACGGAGTCTTTATTCATTGGCTCTACGTCACTGTGTGGCTCTGCCAGGGTCCCCTGGGTTGCCAGAGACTGTCATTCTCCACTTCAGCTCTCAGAACAACATCCCCTTCCATTCTCGATTAGACTTATTCTTTGTGCCTTCCCAGAAGTCCCCAGGTTTGTGGAACACATGTGTGGTGCCCGCTCATGTAAGGACTGAATTCACTAATGGATAAGTTAAGGCCGACCCTGGGAATCCCTAAGTCTTCATGCACGGGCTCCCCAGGGGAGACAGACTCCAGATGGACAGGCCTGAAGGGGTGCAGCAAGGGATCAGCGCCCAGAACACACACCATTGGAGCCCCTCACCCTGATCCTTGGATCCTTGGTGCTTGCTTGCCATAGAGCTGAGAAAAAATGTGGCTCCCCTGGGCCCACATCCATTCATTTTCTCCAGGGAATTAGTCCGCCCTTCAATTCTGGAGGCTCCAGAAATGTTCCTCAGAGCATCTGGAATATATATTTGCTCTCACTGGTGATTGCCAAGGCCAGCTCTGCTGGTTTTCTGTTTGTTCTGCTTAGCCATGGGAGCTGGGGCTGGTCCCTGAGGATGGGGGATGCCCATGGCCCCCAAAGTCCTCTCTCTCTCTGCATGACATGGGATGGGAGCCCTGATGTGGACCTGCTCTTCAAGCAGAGGAGCCTGGATGAGGGCCACCAAGAGTTAAAGGGTTGAGTCTGCAAAGCCCCCAGGCTCCTTCCAATGCCCCAGAAAGCCCCCAATTACTGGGCAACTTGTCCAGTCCTAGAGTCTGGTACAGTGGAAAGATTAAGTCAAACAGACCTAAGATCACATTCCCACTCTCTTGCTTAATAGCTCTGTAACCCTGGACAAATAACATAACCTCTCTGAGCCTCACCTTCTTCATCTAAAAAAGTAAGAATATTTTTGTATTTATACCTTATCTCACTTCAGGGTACATTAAAGATATTTGGGAAACCCTGCAGACAAGGGAATTAGACAGCTTTTAATAGAGGAAAAAGGATACAGAGAAAGGGGGATAAAGACCTAAGATGAAGCCAGGGCCACAGTCAGTTTGTGAGATGCACCACCCGTGAGATCCTCTTGCAAGAGGTGTGCCCCAGCAAATTCACCTCTGAGCTTCCTGACAGCCCAAATAAAGGAAATTCAATGAGACACAAAATCCAAAGTGGCCATGAGATTCAAAATAGACCCACCGCTCAGAAGCAACCCGCTTTTCTGTGTCCTGAAGTCAACGAAGCTCTCTCCCCTGGACCTTCCAAAGGGGGCAAGTTGGGGAGGAGGAGCGTGTGCACAGTGAAGATGAGGCTATCTTCTAGAGCTTTTGTGTGTTTGAAATAGAATAAAATGCCTGACGGCAATCCTTAGAGTGGCCAGCACATAGTAGGTGCTTAATAGGTCTGTCCTTCCTTCCTTCCTTTCTTCCTTCCTTCTTTCCTTCCTTCCTTCCTTCCTTCCTTCCTTCCTTCCTTCCTTCCTTCCTTCCTTCCTTCCTTCCTTCCTTCCTTCCTTCCTTCCTCCTCAGTCCTCTGTCTCCTCCCAGGTAAGGAGTATCTGTGAGATCTTTCGTGCACACAGCCGTCAGCTCTTCAATCCTTCGGCACACGCTAATTAAATACTTACCATGTACCAGGCTCTGGGGAAGGCCAATGCTGGAACTGCCCTAAACCTCACTAGATTCTTTCCTGCTGTCCTCAGATCCTTGGTCTCAAAAGTTCTCTCCTTCCCCCCACCACCCACCCTTTTGGGTCTCAGGACTCTGCCTCCCCTGGAACAGGCCTATAAACCCCAGGGAACCCCACTCTTGTGGCTTGCCCCTCATTCCCCACATAGCTTCAGGCTGCTCCCTCCTACCACCACATTCATGGAGCTCAGCCATGTGCAAAAGCACAATTAATATTCCACTCAGTCTCCCCCAGCCCTGCTGCCTATTGGAAGAAGATGGAAACCAGATTGGCGGCCGCACGCGCTGGCATGGATGTGCACAGAGGGGTGGGCCCACCCCTAGGTGTGAGCTGGCGCTTTCTCCCCTGAGGCTCAAACGTGGGCACGAATGGCAGAAGCCCCCCCACCCCCGACCAGGTCGGTCCGCACCTCCAGACACAGGATCAGCCGCCCGAGCGGCGTGAGCAGGCATGGTCACATGGCTGCGGACTGCACACTCAGCTCCTGGCCAATCGATGCCCAGAGAACACAGGGGCACCTCACATACAAAGCCCACATTTGCTTTCTGGACAGAGGGAGACAGAATCATAGCAGCTCAGGGCTGGTAGGATGGAATCTGAGCAATCATCCTGTCCCAGACCCTCATTTTACAGAAAAGAATCTGAAAGCCTGGCTTAACCTTGAGTGTTATCAGTCCCCGCTAACCTGAACACTGCCTGGGTGCATTTTAGCAAAGCTTTGGATTTAAATGCCCGATGCTGCCTCTGTGCTTTCCTGCTGATGGGCCACTTCGGCCTCGCCAGCCTTGGAGGTTGGGGAAACTGAGGCATAGGGGCAGGCTGGGGGTGAACTTGGCAAGTGCGGCAGATAATGGGCAGGGTCCAGCCTCTGAACTTTCCTCCCTCTCAGTCCCCTATTTCCAGCTCTGCCAGGCCTAGGTGGGGCAGGATTTGCAGGAGAGTGTGCCCGACAACATGAGGGCTTGGGGAGGCAAAAGGAAAGCCTGGCGTGGTTGATTTTTCTCCCCTGACTTCTGACTTAGAAAGCAAAGGGGCTGGAGGCTGGATACCTGAGAGTACGTATGTATGTCTCTGGGGTTGGAGCCAGTGGCCTGAGTTATAGAGGCATCTAGAAGCAGAGTTGCTACAGGTGATTCGAGGTAGAGGAAAGAAGGGTGAGTTCAGAGCAGGACTGAGCAAAGCAGGAAGCGGGTGGAGCTGTTCTCCAGGCGGCAGGCAGACCAAGGGCCAAGGGGCGGGCCTGCCTCCAGTCCAAAGATGGGACAGTAGAACAGAAATTCAGGGAAAGTGAAGCTAAGATAATTACCAGGAAAAGTCGCTGGAAGAGAGGCAAGTGTTTTCTTAGTCCTTAAGGAACTTCAGTCTTCAGAGAATTTGGAGAGGGAAAAAAATCTATCTTCAAGGTCCTTTTCCAAGGAAGGGTGGCTGGTGATTCACTAGCTGCTGAGGAAGGCCCTGGAAGGCCCTCCCCTCAGCTCCTGCCTCTCCCTAGTGAGCAAACCCTGCAAAGGCAGTTCATCTGGGGTGAGTGGAAAGGGCCCTGGGTAAGAAGCCTGGAGGCCCAGATTTCAGCCCTCTCTCTGCCTCATTGAAGCTGGTGACCTAAGGCAAGCCTCGGTTTTCTCATCTGAGGATTGGGGATGATAATAAATCATGTTTCATCAAATCTAAGGATCGATATCATCAATTATATGATGCACCACTATATTATGTACATTAACAAGGAAAAAACTACCTAACTACCACATACCATCGATTATAAGACACATTCTGATTTCAGCGATGCTAAAACGTGCATCCCAGAATCAGTGAATATGATACTCATTTCACAAGCTTCTTCCAAGAATTAAACGCGATAATATAAGTATTTAGTGCCTGGCACAACGCAAGTACTCAATAGATTTCAGGTATTTTTATGGTTCGGGGTGGAGCAGGGGAGGAACCACAGGCCAAGGGGATGGGGAAGAGTGAGAGCCTGGGTCTGAAGCCCACCCCCACCCACCTGACAGGGTGCCACCCCAGGGACTCCACATCTAGCCCCAGCAGGGGACACAGGGAGAACAGCTGTGCAGCCCATTTTAGGGAGCCACAAGAGAACAAAGGGCCCCATCTGTGCCCCGGAAGTCAGCCTAATCTCCAGGATGAATATGTTTTCATTTCTCAGAAGTTCCTGTTAGAGTATGCCAAAGTGTTTTTCCCTTTACAATCCAGGCAAACAAGGCAGGTTTACTTTGGGTGACCTTCTCACCACCACCCAGGGCCTGCCTGCCAAGTGTAAATACCCAGCCTTGCACCCTTTTGGAGGCTCCAGGCGGGAGCCTGGAACATAGGAGTGCCAGGCTTCCTAAGGAGGCAGGCCCTTCACCCTTCCCACCTGCACTCTCCAACAAGACCTGTCCTGGTATAGGCACATTTAGAAGGTCCTTGGAGAAGACGGGACCCTATGCGTCCTTAACACGTCTCCCATTGTATAGATGTGAAAACTGAGACCCCAGAGAAGGACAGTGACTTTCCAGGGGTATCAAAGTGTGGCAGTCCCCATCCAAGCTCCCCCACCCTCAGATACACACACACCATCCCTACTCACAGCTCAGCCAGACAAGGAGCCCCTCTCTCCACCTGACCTTCAGGGTCCGGGACAGGCAGGAAGCTTCTCTCCGTCCTTTCTCTCCTGTGTGTCACTGCGGGGTTGGGATGCCTTTATGCCTTTCACGTCACATCCAAAGCAGCAGGAAAGCAACAACCAGATCTTGCTAAGCCCATAATAGAAGGGGCTACAGTCTGTGCTTTTCTTGACCTGGATTGTGGGTGTTTGCAGAGCCAATTTTGGTCTCCTTCCCCTGACCCTTCAGATGTAGAGAAGGGGCCTGAGAGGGGCTGGGTTGTGGAACCAGGTCCAGGGACTGGTGGGGAGGGAGCAGACCCTCCCTGTTAGGAGAGAACCCAAACTTCAGACCCAGGGAGCTAACTTCCTCTCCCTGAAAATCGAAAATCGGTAAGAGAAGATACAGAAGGGATGCACTGCTCCAGAAGGCTTCAGGTGGGCCCTCTAATCTGAACTAGCTCCACTCTTTTCAGTACTTGAATAGATCAGAGCCTCGAGCCTCTGTATGATCCTAAGTATCAGGTTGGTAGAGGGCACCGGAGTTTCCCATTCATCCTCTAGCTCCCACATCAGTGCCTGCCCCTCCCACTCTTTCTCTCCTACTTACTGTTCCCTCTGTCTGGAATGCTTTTCCCTCCATTTTGCTCCCTTTTGCCATTCAGTTCAAGCTTCCGTTCTCAGCTCACACATCCCCTCTTCAGAGAGGGCTTCATTCCCCCACTCAGTTGTATCATACTACTTTATTTCCTTCGTGGTCTTCCCACTATCTGAAATCATCTTCTTAAATTTTTTCTACCCATTCTTCCCTCATTGACTATGGAAAAATTCTTAATCACCGCTGTATCCCCAGTGCCTGGTCTAGGGACTGTTCATCATGCTCAGTAAAACTTGCAGAATGTGTGACTAAATCCCCTGCCATTCTCATCTTTGCTGGACTTCGTCATCCCCTTCATCCCAGAAAAAAAATGATCATGCTCCTACTACGTGCCAGGCTCTGCACGGCCCATTCTCTCTTCTCTCCTCCTCCCCACTCCCCCCACCCCCAGGATTTTTCCTGGGAGATCCTGCCTCTCAGGCTCCACAGGAGGTGCCGGAACCAGAATGTCTCCCCAGGATCATTTTCAATGGTTTCCTGGGGTGTTCACCTGGGTAAGAATCAGGAAAGAGAGGACACTCTAATCCTATTTATCTAAAACTATATAATCTTCCCCAATCACTTAAATGGTGCCTCTGTCTCTAATTACAGAGCCAGCTGGGAGGAACACAGGCAAAATTTCTAGCCAACCTCAAGCAGAGGGACACTTTTGTTCCTCCTGGGGGCCTACAAGGACTCCAGCTTGGGGAGCTGGACCCCAGACACCTGCTACCTCGAGCTCACCCATCCCAGACTGGTGTGTTGGCCCAGCCGGACACTGCGCCCCCCACACCTTCCTGGAAAAGGATCAGCCACATTCTCGGTGTTGTTAAGGTTCCCCAGTTGGCCAGATGTGAGGCATGTGGGAACACGCCCGTGGTCCCAGCACCCTAATTCTACCTGTCACTGTTTTGAGAGTCAACTGATTGCTTTTTGGCCCACCCTAAGGGCTCAGAGTTGCACTGCTGGGTGAACCCTAGAGCACGGGCTATATTCTCAGCTTCTCAGAAACAAACTCTCCGGGAGGCCTGGAAGCTAATAATCATGTGACAGCCTGGAGGTCAGAACCTTATTCTCCAGAACTCTGTCAACCGGGTCATGAGATGGAGGGAAAGCACGGGCCTGCCTCCCTGCCCCAGGCAAGCAAACAGCTTCTATCTCTGCCTCACGGTGTGTTGCCCACCTTGGCACTGAGAGCAATTTCGGTGACATTCTGGCTTAACTGCAATGACATCTGTGCTTCTTAAAGGCTTTTTGGTTCCTGAGCTAATTAAAAGCCCCAAACCGAGAGGACACACTTAATCCTATTAATGACTTCTGGGCAGGAACCCGGTGTGCTCAGCCCTCTGAGGGAGTGCCTTTCTCACTCCCTCCATTTGTTCAGGTGCCTGGTGATTGTTTATCAGCCCTTTCAAGAGATTAAGCTGAACTCCTGAGCAGGCCACTTAGGTAAGGGATTCTGGGGAACTGGGAGTGTTCGGTGACCCTGGGTGTGCAGCCAGCCACACCTAGCAAGCTCCATGGCCACTGTTCTTCAATGTCTTGCTCTTCTGAACCATTACAGGGACTGGACAACTGATGAGAAGAGGGGTCCTCGCCTCATTTCTGCTGTTCACTGGGCCCTTTCAACAAACAAGAAAGCTGGATACACTCCTTGCCCTGAAGGATCTCAGAGTCCAGTGGGGTCAAAGACACGTGAGCAAACAATGACAATAACACATTAGACAGGCCACAACGGAGGTAAGAGCACCCTGTCTCTCGAGTGTCTAGGATGCTCACTGCTCCAGCCTGCAAACCAAGGAAGTCTCCCTGGAGGAGGAGACATGTGAAAAATCTCCCCACTGAGAGATCTGTTGAGGGGCCCATGAGATGGAATTGCCCCACTTTGGATTTGGTTCAGGCTCTAGCATAAGGCTGGAAGAATGGAAATAACTCAGCTCCCACCTGAACTTATGGGAGAGTGGTTGGCAAAGCCTCAACAAGATGCCGAGGTTCCAGGAACACAGTTATTGGCTCCAGGATAATTTTGCTCCAAGCCCCTACGTTGATCTTCCAGAGAACAGAGACTTTGGCAAGGAAGATTAGCTTGCAGATGTCTCTTTAAAAGAGGAGGGACCAAAAAATAAAAAAATAAAAAATAAAAAAAAGAGGAGGGACCATTCCTCAGGCCGCTCCCTCTTCTCATTAATATGAAAGTTATCGTGAATATTGATGTGGGGGCGTGGCGCCTCGGCCAGCTGGGCTAACCAGCCAGGGGTTCCCGGTTTCACAGAGAGGAAAGTGACAGAAGCCGTGCAGAGGGAGACGCAGAGAGAGCAGAGCCCCGGGCAGCCACCCAGTCCCGGGGGAGCGCTTAGCTCCCCCACCCCCCGCTCCCACCCTGTCCGGGGGGCTCCTGAAGCCCTCAGCCCCACTCCCAGGCTCCCCATGGAAGCCAGCTGTGCCCCGGGAGGAGCCGGAGGAGGAGGAGTCGGCTAAATGCTCGCGGTGCGCCCGGGGCCCCTGAGCCCAGCCAGCTCCGCGCCGCTGCCCTAAGGCCCCCGCGCCCCCGGCGCCCCCTACCCGGGGCCGCGCCGCCTCCGCCCGCGCCTCCCCGGGGCTTTGCCCCGGATCTGCCCCCGCCCGCTAGCCGGCGCTCAGGCAGGAGCTCTGGGCCGGGCGCGCCGCCGCCCTGGAGTGAGGGAAGCCCGAGCAAGGGGGGTCTCCGGAGCCGGCCGCGATGGACGCGGTCTTGGAGCCCTTCCCGGCCGACAGGCTGTTCCCCGGATCCAGCTTCCTGGACTTGGGGGACCTGAACGAGTCGGATTTCCTCAACAATGCGGTAAGACGAAGGGTCTACGTCCCCCTTCCACCACTCCGCACCCCTCTTCGCGGCGCGCCTGCCTCACCTCCCCCCTCCCCGAAGGACCGGGTAGAAGCGGGGGAGGGGGGCTCGGTGCAGGGTCCCCGAGACACACGTGTTGAGAGCTCTGTGATTCGGAGACCAGATCCCTCGACACCCCCCTAGACCCCGAACCCGGACCGGAGCCTCTGAGCTTGCGCTAATGCGCACCCCTCCTGGGGGCTCCGTCCGCGGATACATTGACCTCGGCTTTCTAGGGGAAGGGGACGTCGAGGCGTCGGGGCCAGCCGATCCCTGGATATGAGCCCGAGAGACACCAATCCTGCCCCCTCCCACGTCTTCTAGCCGTCGTCCACCCACTCCCGGGGTCCCCCGACCAGATTGGGCGCAAAGTGGCGGCGCCCCTTCCTGCGCCCCCTTTAGGACCTCGGTGGCTCCGCGACTGGTTCTCCGCTGGGGGGCGCACAGGGAAGTGTTCGGAAGGCCAGGGACCCGACGCCCCTTGGGGGGCCAGAGCAGTACCCGGGTTCTGAGCCAGTCCTGGAAACTTAGGGGTTCTGCCGCGGCCGCTCCGTGAGTTCCCCAAAGACGGACCTGACGCTCACGCTCAGATGGTCAGGGCAGCACAGGGTGATGGTTCAGGAGGGGGGAGATCTATCTCCCCATCTCTCTGTCTCTAGGTGTGTTCCTCTGTCCCTCATGTCTCCCTGACCTTGTCTCTCTC